CCTTTGGATGAAGCAACAACTTGTGGATTATGGCCTTAGTATCGATCACGTCCCTCTTCGATGTGATAATACTAGTGCTATAAGCTTGACGAAGAATCCGGTTCTTCACTCAAGGACGAAACATATTGACATTAGGCATCATTTCATTAGAGATCATGTTCTCAAAGGTGATGTCGAAATTGAGTTCGTTGAAACACACAACCAATTAGCCGACATTTTCACAAAACCTTTGGAGAAAGAGTCGTTCTTCCGCATTCGTAGTGAACTCGGAATCCTTGACTCCACGATGATCTAAATTGTGCATAAATTATTATTTTTTTTGGTCCCTACTAACTTGAACGTCGGAGACGTTTTTAATTCTCTTTTGCAGGGCTCTTTTTAAATTTTATTTTTCAGGTATCAAAGGCAGGGGGAACATGTAAATTGATTTTTGCTTCAGACCTGGTGTAAATCGATTTACAGGCTTGTGATAATCGACTATCACAGCCTACAGAAGTTTAGAGCACAGAAGCTGAAGGAGTAAACAATTGATTATCACCATTAAGATAATCGATTATCTGAGCCTGCAGAAGTTTAAGGCAACTCAGGCGCAAACTTCAGCAATCGATTTTCCAAGTCATGATAATCGACTATTTGAAGCTGCAGAACTTTATTTGAAGTCAGGCGCACAACAATCGATTTACCAAAACATGACAATCGATTATTGAAGCCTGCTGTTTCTTTGGCGGAGAATCTGAAGACTCAGATAATCGATTTACAGGGAGTGTAAATCGATTATCAACGGAGATTTTTCAAAAATCTGACCGTTGCAGAGACGTTGGAGAGCAGTTAATGCCTTGTTTGACCATCCCAAACGCATCTCAGGCCTCTTCCACTATATATTGGTGATATCCTTTCATATTTTACTCACTCAAATCACAATTCCTTCATATATTCTTCAATATTTCATCCTTCTTGCAATTATTCTTCAGTGTTCTTGCAAAATCCCTGCAAATTTCTCTTTTTTTTCTTGCTCTCCCTCTCTCTCTCTCTTGTTGCAATGGCAGGCGGTCAAAGAAAGCGTTCCCGCACCGGCAAGAACGTTGCTTCCTCTTCGGCTCCTCCACCATCAACGCACAAATACCTTGACGGGTCGTTTCTTTGGTTCAACGACCGCGAAGAGGCTACAAGGTTCTCGGAGAAGTTTGAGCATCGGGAAATTTTCCCTCCCCGATTCTCCACAGCCCGCTTCATTCATGACTCCATTCCATGTGAGGCACGGGTTATCCTTGAACGTGGAAACTTCCTTGAACGTGTCTCGTCTGCTTCTTCATCCATTCTGGTCAATGGGGACTTACATGGTTTTTTTAAAAGCAAACAAGGGTTGAGACAGGGGGACCCCATGGCACCCACTCTTTTCCTCCTGTGTGTGGAGTACTTCTCCAGATTGCTTAACTCTAGAGCCAAGGAGGAAGTTTTCAATTATCACAAGGACTGTGCTGCTTTGGGGATAACACACTTGGCCTTTGCTGATGATCTTATGTTGTTCTCTCGTGGTGATCTTCCCTCTGTGCAAGTGCTTATGGACTGTTTGCAACATTTTACTAATGTCTCTGGGTTGGCCTTGAATCCTACTAAGTCCAATATCTTCATTTCTGGGAAAAACAGGGACACTAGTCAGGAGCTACTGGATTTGGTTTCTTTCCCTCGTGGTCAACTACCTGTGAGATACTTGGGTCTCCCTTTGGCTTCACAAAGGATCTCAGAGAATGACTTTGCACCCCTCTTCAAATCCGTGAATGGATTTCTGTCCAAATGGAAGACTATGAAGCTCTCTTATGCTGGGAAGGTGGAACTGATCAGGGCAGTTATCCAAGGGGTCCAATCCTTTTGGCTCCAAGCCTTCCCTGTCCAAAAATATGTACTTGATCGTATCACTTCTCTCTGCCGGGAGTTCCTTNTTATTGTGTAAGCTTCTCTGGAATCTGGCAGCCAAGAAGGATTCACTTTGGGTTAGGTGGGTTCATGCTGTTTATGTTACACAGGGTGATTTTTGGCATTGGCAACCTAAAAAGAGACACTCTGTTTTCTTTAAAAGGTTGGCCTATGTGCGAGAGCTTTTGATTCAAAAGCTTGGTGACCACAACTTCTCTATGGATGTGGCTATGCAACCTTATTGTGTGGGAGATAACCTTGTTCCAGGCAAGGTCTATGATTTGTTTAGGGTAAAGTCCAGCCCCAAGCCTTGGATGGCTTTCATATGGCATTCAACATTTCCTCCTAAATGCTCTTTTACGATGTGGTTAGCGTTTAGGAGGAGGTTACCCACCAAAACCAACTTGGAGTTTCTTGGCCAACCCATGGATTGTACCTTCTGTGGCCAGGCTTTGGAGAATGTAGATCATCTTTTCTTTGGCTGTTGTGTCACTGAGCAGGTTTGGGGAGCTGTAAAAAATTGGCTACGTATTCAGGGTCAGATAAGTACTTTGGACAGGGCTCTTCGATGGATGAAAACTTTTAGAAAGGGCGATGCTCTTTTGAAGAAAACCAAGAGGATTGCGTTGGCTTGCACGGTGTTTCAAATCTGGAAACATAGGAATGCTGTCCTTTTTGATCGAAAACCTCTTGATGTTGAGGCCATTATCTGTAAAATTAAATTGATGGCGTATTCTGTTGTGGGAAGGCTTTGGCCGCTGTACTCCCTTTCTTTTTGATGATGTTTGTTGGTGTGTGCGTTAGTGGCTGCTGTTTGGCTGTATTTGTTGACGTTTAGTCTTGTTGGCTAACGTTCCTTTGTGGATTTGGTGTGTTACCAATTCCAAGCTCGGGTATGCCCGTTCTATTTGTATATTCCTATTCTTCTTCTATTTACATTTTTACCGTTGGAAACTTCCTCGATCTCCTCTACATCAAGAAGGTCAATTATCAACCTTTTCTTGTTCGAGCTTTCTATTCGAACTTGAAAAAGGATGATGACGGATCGTTGATTTCAAACGTCAATGGGGTGGACATTTATTAGAATGAGGAAAACATTCAAATCCTCACCGGGCTTCGACGGGACGGACAGGATCTTGGGCTCTACGTCGGAGAAGAAGGAGTGCGGTTCAATGAGACCGCTCTCTTGGAGGAAGTGGGCATCCGACACTTCGTACCCACTCCCCAACAGCGGCGCCCTACGATTTCTTCCATGAGTCCCGTGTATCGTTTCATCTTCTATGTGTTGACACGGATCCTCAAGCCCAGGAAGTTCAACCACACCACTCTCTCCCAAGAAGACACAAAGACGATCCATGCGATGATTCACAACGCCAATATCGATTGGTGTAAATTTGTGATGATCCACATGTTCAACGCCACCTCTGACAACCAGCCGCTCCCCTACGCCCTCCTTGTCATGGCGATTCTTGAAGAATATAACATCAAAACCGATGTTGGGCCAAAGATAAAGGGGACAAAGCATTGGGAGATTGATGAATCCTCTTTCCACTCGGGCACCGACGAGACTCCGTTTCGACAGCCTTGTCCACGCCGACAACCGAGAGCCACTGCCTCAGCCGCCACCACGTCGACCAATCCTTCTCTCGCCGAGCAAATGGCAGCCTTAACCGCCACTCTCTCTCGGATTGACACCAATGTCTCCAAAACGGCACACAACGTCAATACCTTGAGCCGTGAACTTCACGGGTATTTTGACTTTGTCAATTACCCGTACGCTCAAATGGTCCCTTACGTTCCTCCACCGAATTTCGGAGGTGAACAAAGTGGGACTCAAAACGTTGGTAGAGATGACGAGGTGGACGATGAAGAAGAAGAAGAAGAAGAAGAAGAAGAGGAAGACGAAGCCGATGATGATGATGATGATGATGATGGTGATGAAGAAGAAGAAGAAGAAGACATTGACGAAGAACAACTTCTCAATGATCTTTCCCCGGATTTCTAGAGCACTAGCTCTACTTTCTTCTCTTCCTTATTTTATCATCTTATAATATGCTTTCGTTATGTACTCTGCTATTTCCCTTAATTAATTAATAAAAATCTTTATGATTTTTGTTGTTAACAATCTTTTTGTTAATGTCAAAAGGGGGAAGATAAGGGCTATGCATATATTAAGGGGGAATTTTTTTTTAAGGGGGAATTTTTTTTCAAAAAGATCAAAACCCTATGCATATCCCCGTCTTGTTTTCCATTATCAAAAAGGGGGAAATTGTTGGAACACACTTTGTACGTTAAACTAAAGTCGTGTTCATTTCTGACAGGTTTTGATAATTGCCAAACCGCGGTGGATATGAAGAGTTTCGTTGAATAACTCAAGGCGTGAAGAATGGCTTGGAACAAGACCTAAAAGACTCAAGGACAAGATCAAGAATTGAAGACTTAGTCGAGTCGGTCTTTTGTGATCAAAACCGACAATTTACTCAAGTCTCGGTTCTCAAAAGGTCAAATCAATTTTTACAAACCATAAAACATTTTTTGTGCATCAAAACAAACATTTTTGATGACTTCTTTTATTGTTAAAAATCTCTGGTCCTTGCTCAGAACCAAAACCAACTAAGTCGGCGTTCGGCTTTCGGCATTCGGTTTTCGGCGTTCGGTTTTTGGCGCCCGAACCAACTCGGTGGTTTTCAATGTTTTAAACCTCGCTTTTATCTCTGAGCATATTTTAAAGGTTCTCGAATAATTATTTTATAAAAACCACTTTTGTATCTTGGTCAATCGGTCTAACACGTGAAAAACGGTCAAAACCGTACGCACGTGATTTACGACCTTGAGGACTTGGTTTTTACCAAACAAGTCTTGTTTTCACTATTCTATACCATATACAATATTTTTAAAACTTGGTTTTTTACTTTTGGGAACACTTCGTTTTTGGACCTCGGTTTTTCAAAATGGGTTTCAGCTCGCCAGACTTTAGCTGGGTGATAATCGATTATCACCTTAGTGACAATCGACTATCAGCCACTACAGCTTTGAACTTCAATGTTCTGAAGCACGCAATAATCGATTATCACCTTTGCAATAATCGATTATCAGCCTTTGCAGCCAAAACCCAGAATCTTCTGAGAGGACCAATAATCGATTATCACTTGTTGACAATCGAATATCTGGGTTACCGTTGTCCTCCAACGGATAGAATTTTAAATTTTTGGACAGGGAATCTTTGGATAATCGATTATCATGGTTTGACAATCGACTATCATCATGTGTCCCTGAAAAATTTGTCTTCATCCTGTTGGAAATTCTAGCAACGGGTTTATCCCATTTTGGGCTATAAAATGGCACCCAAATCCTCTCTTTTAACACACAATTCTTCAACATTTCAATACTCTTTCATTGCATAAGCATTCCCATTTTTCTTAGCTATTTGAGAGCCAATTCTTGAAGAAATTGTCGTTTTCTTGAGCGTTTACTAGTTCACTCATATCTACTCTTTGTGAGAGTTTTATTCCTGAGTGTTTAAGTGTTTTCATACACTTTAAGGGAGTTTGTTCCCTTGTTGTAAACTCGAAGGAAGTTCCTTGTTCCTTCGTGAGAAGTCTTGGAGTGCGGTATCTCCGAGCAAAGGTGTTGAGGCTCGTGTGACTTTGGTTCTCAAGTTGTATCAGTTTGTTAAGCACCCTTAAGCTTAACGGAGTTAGTGTAGCTCGAGAGAGTCTCTCGGGGGGCTGGATTAGCCACACGTTGTGGTGAACCAGGATAAAATCCAGTGTGCTCCTTCTTTACGCTCTTTACTTTAACGCTCTCATTTTAATTTCCTGCGATTTTGTTTTAAACGCTATTCACCCCCCCTCTAGCGTTGGGCCTTTATTCTAACAGGAAAGGTTTGGGTTTCTCCCTTTGTATAGTTCATAAGGCATTTTCATGAGTATCGGTCGAATGACGGCTCGGTTTAACACGTAGCTTGCGATACTCACGGCATCCGCCCAAAAATACTTAGGGATTTTTGCCTCATTGATCATAGTTCTAGCCATCTCTTTGAGACATCTATTTTTCCATTCCACCACTCCATTTTGTTGTGGTGTACATGGGGCTGAGAAATTATGATCAGTGCCGAGTTCGTCACATAAATCTGAGAATAGATTTTGTTCGAACTCTCCCCCATGGTCGCTTCTTATGGCTACTATGGTTGTTTCTAGTTCATTTTGAACTTTCTTTAGAAAAATTTTGAAAACGTGAAATGCCTCACTTTTGTGAGTTAGAAACAAGGTCCGTGTAAACCTAGAGTAGTCATCGAAAATCACAAACGCAAAGTAATTACCACCAAAACTTTTCGTTCTAGAAGGACCAAAGAGATCCATGTGCAAAAGTTGAAGCGGTCTAGACGTTGAAACAACGTTCTTAGACTTAAACGTAGCTCGAACTTGCTTCCCCTTTTGACATGCATCACATATGGTGTCTTTTTCAAACTTAAGTTTTGGAATGCCAATTACTAAGTCTTGTGAAACCAATTTGTTTAAAAGGTTCATGTTCATATGAGCTACCCTTCGGTGCCATAACCAAGTGTCTTCCCCTTTACTCATGAGGCATTTAGCAAAGCCGGAAGGAGATTTGTCTAAGTTAACCATATATATATATATATATATATATGTATGTATGTATATATATATATATATATATATATATATATATATATATATATATATTGTCGATTCTATCACCACGTAGAATGACCTTATTGTCACTAAGGAGTTCTACCGTGCATGATTTTGAATCGAAGGTCACACGGTTTCCCTTGTCACATAATTGACTTATGCTCAAGAGATTGTGTTTAAGACCTTTAACTAGCAAGACATTATCTATAGAGGAGTCTTCGGACTTACCTACCGAGCCGATGCCGATGATCTTTCCCTTGCTATTATCTCCAAAGACTATGTTTCCTCCTTTAGCGGGTTTGATTTGTAGGAATTTGGATGCATCTCCGGTCATGTGCTTGGAGCATCCGCTATCAAGATACCAGAGTACACTTGATGCCTTCAAGCACACCTACAAAAATGATTTAATAAGATTTAGGTACCCAAGTCTTTTTGGGTCCTTGAGTGTTAGGTGCAAAGTGGTAGTGTGATTCATTTTGTTTCCAATGCCTATGCCTAGTAAAGCAAACGGGAGCTATATGTCCTACCCTATTACAATAGTGGCAAACTACGTTTGGGTTGTGCATCCTCCTAGGTTGATAATAGTTGCTAGGGGGCCTAACCATATTCATCCTATTTTGGGAAAAAATTGGTTTTTGAAAATTCTCTCTTCTAGGTGTCCTAGCATTATTTTGTCTATTTGAAAAATTATTTTTATGCACAAATTCATTTTGATAATTTTTCCTAGGTTGTCTAACATGCACATTTTCATTTCTAGGTTGTTGTCTAGGTTGTCTAGTGTCCCTAGGTTGACTAGATTGTCTATTATCCTGATTTTTATCTTACTTACGTTGACCCTTACGTGGTTGTCTAGGTGTTTGGTCAATGTTTTTGTCCTTAGCTTCGTTTTTATTAAAGCCTAGTCCTTCCTTAGAAAAGTTCATAGTGTCAAGAAGTAAGTTAAGATCTTTGTGTGGGGTATTGAATTTCTTGACCGTACTCTCAAGTTTTGCAACCTTTTCTTTTAAAGCTTTGCAAGATTCACATTCACTTGAAGAGCTTTCCGGTTTGTCAGCGCTTCTTTTTCCATAAAATTTATTTTCTTGTTTTAGCTTTTCATTATCTTTTTCTAGTTTTTCAAAATCATTTTCAAGAGTTGAAAGACGTTTCTTTAATGATTTGTTAGTTTTAGAAGCGCTAACAAATTCATCGTAAAGCTCACGAAGTGCTTCTTGCATCTTTTCAAAAGTGTAAGAGTCGGAAGAAGTAGTACATACCTCTTCTACTTCGTCGGCGTGGTCTTCGTGTGCCGTGAGACAGAGGTTGGCGGCTTCTTCCTCTTCTTGGTCAGTTGACTCGTCGCCAGAGTCGCCACCCCATGAGATATATGCTCTTTGCTTTTTGAAGTCGGGTTTGTCCTTTCCGTTTTTGCCTTTTGGACACCTCGGCTTGATGTGGCCTATCTCGCCACAGCCATAGCACTTCGGGAGACCGTCGTGCTTTCTTCCTTTGAGCTCAAATTCCTTCTTCATAAATTTGTGGAATTTCTTGATGACGAGTCCAAACTCGTTGTCATCATCGCTTGAGGCTTCTTCCACGGTTTCCTTGGTCGCTTTGAGTGCTATACCTTTCTTCTTTTGTTCATCCAAAGACGGGGTTAGGATAGTGGATTCATATGTTTTGAGATTACCTTTTAACGCGTCGATGGTGACGTTGGAAACTCTGATGGATTTGTAGATTGCGTCGGCCTTTGACCTCCATTCGGGTGTGAGACTCCGCAGGATTTTCCTCACGAGATCCTTGTTGGCGTAAGTCTTCTTGAGGGCATGAAGGTCGTTGATGATCTTTGAGAACCAATCGAAAATGTCATTGATCTTTTCACCTTCCTTCATCCTAAACATTTCGTACTCCTGCGTTAGGAAGTCAATTTTAGCTTCCCGAACTTGGTCCGTACCTTCATATGTGACCTCCAGTTTGTCCCACATTTCTTTGGCGGTGGTGCAGCAAGAGATCTTGCGATAATCATCGAGGTTGACCACGCAGTACAACATGTTGATTGCCTTGGCGTAGTTCACCACCTTTTTGATGTCTTCAGCATCAAATTCGTCCTCGGTCTTTGGGAGGAGTTTTTCACTGACCTTCTTCATTGGCGTTTCTTCGCCGTTCTTGATGACCAACCACAACTGGAAGTTGGTTCAACGGATATAAATTCTCATCCGCTCTTTCCAATATGTGTAGTTGGTGCCATCAAAGAGTGGTGGCCTGGAAGTTGATTGACCTTCTCCGATCCCTGCATAAATATTTCTAGAAGAAGAACCCATGATCGCTTTACTCTCAAACGATTAAGTTTGGACGCGAGTTAGGCTCTGATACCAATCGTTAGAGTAATAGACCAATGCTAGAGGGGTGGGTGAATAGTGTTTGATCAAGAAACCTCAGGAATTAAAAAACTTTAAAGGAGAAGTAAAAGAGAAGAGT